CACTGGGCGTTTCGTAACATGCACCGCGCCTCCCGTATCATGGCCGGCTCTCAACAAAAACCAAAGAACACTGTCTCAAAGGGCACTCCGCAACATGCACCGCGCCTTCCACAACAGCGGTTGGTTCCTAGCGTAGGGGCAGCACTGGGCTGTCCGCAACACGAGCCGCGCCTCCCGCAACATGACCCGTGCTTTTCGCAACATGGTCGACTCGCAGCCCCGCCCGCTAGGGTCCGCCCGCCCAAACCGCTCGTCAAGGACTGCCCGCCCGACCCGCTTGCAGGGTCCGCCCGCCCGACCCGCCCGTCAGTGTCCGCCCGTTTGGGTCCGTCCATGTGGGTCTGCCCGCCCGACCCGCCCTGCGTGGCCCGCCCGCCCGACCCGCCCGCTAAGCGCCGCGCGCCCGACCTGACCGCCCGCATTTGATTTCTTTGCCGGCGTCTTCGATGTCCTCTTCGTCGTCGTCGACGTCGCGTTCGCTTTTGTCGTCGCGGTCGTCGTCGTGGTCGTCGACGCCCTGGTCGCCAGGCTCGTCGTCATCGTCGTTTTCGTCGTCGTCGACGGCGTCGCCGTCGTCGTCCTCGCCGCCCTCGTCGTCGCCTCCGTGGATATCGCAATGGGCGGATTGTCCACTACTTCAGTGTCCCGCCCGACCCGATCCGACCGGCCGTCAGGGTTTGCCCGCTCCGCCCGCCCGCTAGGGTCCGCCCGCCCGACCCGCCCGTCAGGGTCCGCCCGCCGGACCCGCGCGTTGCGGTCCGCTCACTCGACCCGTCTCTTAGGGTCCGCCCCTCGTCGTCGTCGTCGTCATCGTCGCCATCGTCGTCGTAGTCGTCGCCAACGTCGTCGCAGTCGTCGCCGCCGTCGTCGTCGCAGACGGCGTCGTCATCGATGTCCTGGTCATCGGCCTCGTCGTTATCGTAACGTTCGCCGCCATTGTCGCCCTCATCGTCGTCGTCGTCGTCGTCGTCCTCGCCGCCTACGTCGTCGTCTGCGCGAATGTCGCAAAGGGTGGATTGCGCGCTATCTGAAAGCCCCGCCCGAGCCCAACCCGCCCGCCCGCTAGAGCCCGACCGCCCAACCCGCTCGTCGGGGCCCGCCCGCCCGACCTGCCCGTCAGGGTCCGACCGCCCGACCCGCCCGTTAATTTCCTCCCGCCCGACCCGCTCGCCCGCTAGAGCCCACCCGCCCTACCTGCCCGGTGGGTCTGCGTCGTTGTCTTTGGTCGGTGCCGTCGTCTTCGGCGCCCCCGTCGGCGTCGTCGGACTCGCCTTCGCAGTCGTCGTGGTCATCGATATCCTGATCGTCGGCCTCCTCGTCATCGTTGCGTTCGTCGTCCTCGTCGGCCGTCGTCGCCGTCGCCGTCGTCGCCGTCGTCGTCCTCGCCGCCCTTTTCGTCGCGAACGCGGGTGTCGTGATGGGTAGATTGCAAGCTATTTTAATTCCCCGCCCGACCCGACCCGCCCGCTAGAGTCCGACCGCCCGACCCGCTCGTGCGAGCCCGCCCGCCCCAGCCACTCGCCAGGGTCTCCCCGCGCGACCCGCCCGTTAGGGTCCGCGCGCCCGCCCCGCCCCGCCCGCCAGGGTCTGCCCGCTCGACCTGCCCGTTGAGTCCGCGCTGCTGTATTTGATGACATTGCCTCCGTCTTGGATGCCCTCGTCGTCGGGGTGGTCGTCGTCCTGGCCGTCCTCGTCGTCGCGCACGTCGTGGTCGATGTCCTGCTCGCCGGCCTCGTCGTCATCGTTGCAAGCGTTGTCCTTGTTGGCCTCGTCATTGTCGTCCTCGCGGTCGTCGCCGTCGTCGTCGGCGGCGGCGGCGTCGTCGTCGTCGTCGTCGGTGTCGTCGTCGTCGTCGTCGTCGTCGTCCTTGCCGCCCTTGTCGCCGTCGTCGTCGCCCTCGCCGCCCTCGGCGCCGTCGCCCTCGCCTCCCTCGCCGTCGCCGCCGTGAATGTCGCACTGGGTGGATTGCGCGCTATCTGAATGCCCCGCCCGACCCGGCCCGACACGCCCGATCGGGCCCACCCGTCCGACCCGCCCGTCATGGTCCCACCGCCCGCCCGACCGTCAGGGTCCGACAGCCCGACCCGCCCGTTAAGGTCCGCCGCCCGTTGGGTCTGCGTCGTCGTCGCGGTTCCTGCCGTCGTCTTCGACGTCGTCGTCGACGTCGTCGCCCTCGCCTCCATCGTCCTCGCGGCCGTGGTGGTCGATGTCCCGCTCGTCGGCTCCGTCGTCATCGTGGCATTCGTCGGCTTTGTCGGCCTCGTCGTCGTCGTCCTCGCCGCCCTCGTCGTCGCCGCCGCGGGCGTCGCACTAGGTGAATTGCACGCTATCTAGATGTGCCGCCCGGCCCAGCCCAGCCCGCCAGCCAGGGCCCGCCCGCGCGACCTCCCGTTCAACTCCGCCCGCCCGAACCGCCTGTTAGGGCCCGCCCGCCCGACCCGCCCGTTGGGGTCCGCCCGCCAGACCCGCCCGTCAGGGCGCGCCCGCCCGACCCGCCTGTTAGGGTCCGCCCGCCGTGGGTCGTCGTCGTCGACGTCGAAGTCCTCGCCGTCGTCGTCGTCGACGTCGTTGTCGTCGACGTCGTCGTTTTCGTCGTCGTCCACGTCGTCGTGGATGTCCTGGTCATCGACCGCGTCGTTATCATACGGTTCGCCGCCCTGGTTGCGGTCGTCGTCGTCGCCCTCGCCGCCCTCGCCGTCGCCTCCGAGGATGTTCTGGCGCGGGTTGCTCACCGCTGTAATGAATGCTCCGCCCGACCCGACCCGGCCCGCCCGCCGGCGCCCGCCCGCCCGGGCCGCCCGTCAAGGCCCGCCCGCCAGACCCGCCCGTCAGGGTCAGACCGCCCGACTCGCCGACTGGGGCCCGCCCCGGCCCGCCTGCGAGGGCCCGCCC